ATTTGATTGGTTGAAGATTGAGTTATGCCACCTAGTTAGTTGAGTATTATCCGGAGGTTTGAGCATGAACCATCATCAATAACCTTTATTCTGCACTCAAAAAGATACCTGACTGTCGAACTGCATAAACAATTTTGTAATCCGTATCATTATAAATAAGATAAAAGTGTGCTATAGCAGACCTGATCCAAGGCTATTGATATGTCTGAAGTTACTGCCATAATTTCACTTTTTAATAATTGGAGCCAAGTCAGGAGCACAAGTCTTAAGTATCAGCTGCTTTTGGTATTGTCTTCAATAACTGACACCTACTGTTATTGTGGTACCTTTGCAGAGAAAAATAATTATAACTTATTTGAAAGAACATAATAAAATCATAAAAAATGGAGACTTTAAGGAGACTTTAAATACTCGTCAGTACGATCTGAATAATGTTGATAAAACTCAAGCAGAAGCTGAATTCATAATGATAAGTGAGTTAAACCAAGTTAATACAAAGATAGCATTGGTGGAAGTACTTACTTTTGAAGTTACGATAAACTTAGTTTCGGAACTCAGTGACATGCATATACGTGTGTTTTATAACTTCCTTAATACATTTTATATATTAAAGCGTACACTTTAAAATAAGAAATCTCTGATAATATGTTGTCACTATGATTTAAATGTAAAAATATAATTAATATGTTCTGTTAATTATTCCTTACGCAGTGACAAAAGTGAAATATATGTATGTATTAACGACTTTGCATGTGAAATGAAACGGCCGGCGAATAACAGTGTTTGTTTCACAAAACGGAAATGTATAAACCCACATTTTCTTTACTCTATTATAGTGTGATGAAAGTAGATTGTTTTTGAATAAAACTTATGTGATTTAAATACAGGCTTCTGATAAAGATTATTTATGCTGGTACTGACTGTTAAAGACCAGAAAATGAATAAAATTACCTTCTTTCTTACTGTTTCCTGGCGTTTATGTATTTGGGTGTTTTATGGACGGCGTAAAGGAAATTATAAGACTTTTTTTTGTTAGGATCAAAAATATATATGTACATCTCAGGACTTCATTGTTATTGTATTATCCTACTAATATTATAATTGCGAAAGTTGGTGAGTATGTGTGTATGTTTGTTACTTCTTCACGCTCAAACGGCTGAACTGATTTTGATAAAATTTTGTATACAAGAAGCTGACGTCCAGGAATAACAAATAGGCTACTTTACATCCCGCAGAATGTTCGACTTTTCCTCATATAAGCGAAAAACCATATTTACTCGAGAACTCAACTCCTAGCCAAAACGAAATTATCGCTATGTACCTTTTACCGTAACGAAAAAAATTCATTATTGTTGTGAAATGAAATAAATTATTATTTATTGTTATAGTTATTTGTAAAATCATTTAACAATTCAATTTATAGTGAACGATGACGTCCACACTATGCTAGGCCTGTATCGTGGACATCGATTAATTTCTAGCAGACAAAATCTGTAATCTGTAATTATTAATCTAAAATAATTTTATCCAGTAACAACTGATAAACATTTGTTTTAATTTGAGAAGATCAATAGTGTCAAGTAAATCTTTGTAAATATAATCGAAGACAAATTATTATTCTTATTCAAATAAATGAAAGATATTGTTAGCTAGAGCCTTACTTTCTCTTTAATTTAATTTTTCTATTTATTGGTATCTCCAGAAAAATAAAGTATTCTGCCTAATACCAAAACCGAGCGTATCAAACCTTAACAAAAAATGTGTTAGAATTTTTTTTTTTTTGTTAGGTTTGCATGATTTTACCAATGATGACCAATGATAATGGGTTTATGTAAAAGGCTAGGCGCGTATAAAGCAACCACTGTTCATACAACTGTATCCTGAAACATTGCTTTATATAAACCTTGTTATAACTATTCGTTCTGTTACAAAATATCATGTTTTTTATTTACTCCTAAAATTGAGGAAATTTATGTTTATTCAGTTGTTAATAAAGCATAATTCTGATATATTATGTGTAGTTTCTATTCTAATATACGTGTAGTTTCAATCAAGCAAATTTAATCTCAATGAATACGAATAATAATATCTAAAACTGATTGCTAAATTATAAATTATTGTTAAACCTAGTTTTATTATTGATTTTTCCGTCTATACAGCTGTACTCAAAACTCTTGATGCGTATTAAGTTTAAATCCTGATTTTTTAAATGATTTACGAAATAGTAATACCGAAAATATGAGGCATACAGCTATAAGGTACTTTTTTTTATTATTCTTTATTGCACAAAAAAAAATTAATATACAAAGGGCGGACTTAACGCTATGTCAGCATTTTCTACTAGCTAACCCAGAATAGTGAAGGAGAGTAATGAGTAGGATGTGCACAGAAGTAAAGAAAAATTTAAAATATATACATATGTAGTATAGAATACATAAATATAGATATACATAATATACATAAATATGCACAAACAAAAACATATACAAGTACATAAATATTGAACATATATACACAAATACATAAATATATTTACATATGAATCCAATTATGATAAGAGTATAGAAGAAAAGACATCACATAGAGTTGACAGACGACAGATAAAATTCTTTCACTTGGCGCTTGAAAGAATCGCGCGAAGGGGCTCTACGAACAGAATCCGGCAAAGTGTTCCAAAGCCGGGCTGCGACTAAAGAGAAAGAGTTGGAAACAAAGCCAGATTTATGGGGAGGTATGAAAAGGGTAATGAATTGAGAGGATCGTAGGGGCTTATTATGAGTAGAGGAGAGAAGAGAAAATTTAGAGGATAAGTAAGTGGGAGCATTAGGGTCGATAAGAATAGAATAGAGAAGACATAGAATCCGAGTATATCTATGTTCCCGTATAGGAAGCCAGTGTAACTGTTTCCTAAAACGAGAAACGTGGTCGAATTTGCGTAAACTAAAGATAAAGCGAATGCCAGTGTTAAGGAGACGATTGAGTTTATGCAGGTGTTCTTCCGACAGGTCTAGATAACAGGAGTCACCGTAATCAAGAATTGGAACCAAGAGGGTAGTAGCAAGCTGGATTTTAGTTTCCATAGGCAACATTTTTTTAAACGCATCATGGAATGCATAGTGGCGTAAAACCTACGAGAAACTTCTTTAATATGTTTACGTACACTTAAATCATAACTTATTTCAATAATAATGAACAAGACAACTATTTTAAAACATCTTTATTTTGAAGTCTGATGGGATGAAAAGAAAGATATTTGATTGTTTAACATGATATAAAAGTTACGTTTTAATGTTCAATACTATTCCCGTTGGCCACTATTGCTAGTAGCACTTGTATGAATTTTGTATTGTCAATCTACAATCGATGATGATAAAGTCTTATTTGCATATGTAGTATTCTTTTATTACTGTCAGTATAACGCTGGCAGACTCACAACAGTTATCTTGGATATCTTTGATTAATATACAGTGATTTGACTTACGTATGAATACTTATCAAGATTATAATAAGTTATGTATACAGTTTTCTATATAAAAAGCATTTTAATATTGCTTTTAAGATCAGTACTTTAAATTTTAATCAGAAAGTGACTTTGTGACATATAATGAGGTATTTTACAGGAATATAAAATATTATAATTTTCTTTCTTCCAAAGTTTTATAATTATTTATTAAGACTACTATTTTTCGATTAATTAAAGCGTTAACAATATGAGAACCTACTTCAAGCACTATACTAATGACAAATATGAGTTTATTTGATATTTTGTAAGTAATAACTGGCTATTTTTCTAAGACTGTTTAGTGAAACTTGTCTGATTTCTATTATTTTATTTCTATATGTAAATAGCGGTCGTTCATATTTTTCTTTGAGTACTATTATGAAGGTCATTTAGAAAATACTATATATTTATCAATAGAAACAGTAGCTTTATTAATATAAGTTATTTAACAATGTCATATTAATGTAACAGTTATAATAAAGCAAACAGTAAATTTTCTTTTTGTCCAAAAATTCAAGGTGAATATTCGAAACTGGATTCTTAAAAACTGCAAATAATCATAAATCCAACTAGAAAATTGGCTTTTTAATTTTCAGACCTACCTACTTACTTTATCCACGACTAAGAATTCCTTTTTAAAATTGCCCTTTTCAAAGCTTTGACTGGACGGTCAAAGGGATTAATAAAATTCTTTCAATATTACGATGGGGGATATGGGATAGAAGAAGGAAATAAATTGTCCGTATTTATGCAAAATGGAACCACTCGACAAAATTTAATTTTTTACTTTTTTTAAGAATACTTACGTAAAGGTAGTCTAAATTCTTATACAAAAAAGAATCACATGAATTCCCCTTGGAAACAAGGTATATTAAAAGCAGAAAGGAACCAACAACAATAACAAACGTTACTTGTAAAGCAAAAAGGAACCACGGTACAACATGACTCTATTTATCAAAAAAGTAAACGATATTACAATCATGTAGTTTTATACAAAATAGATCCACGCACACTTGGTACTATTATACATTACACATAATTCTATTATTACGATTATTTTTTTTACACAAAATAGAACCAAATTCCTGTGGTATCCTTATGCGTAAAATAAATTCTTATTATTTAGTTGTTAATATTGTTTTGCAAAAAGAAACCACAAGCATTCGGTTCTATTACGTATAAATAAATATTGTTAAACAGTAGAACCACTAGCATGTGATTCCATTACGCTTATTGTTTTGAAATTTATAATCGTTCATAAGTGCAAAAATTACATGATTGATTTCAAGTTTCTCGTTTTAAACAACGAAATACTTACCTTATTTTATTGAACTTATAACTCAAAGTGCAATAACTCAGTTTCCAAGTAAAACGTCAAACGTTATTTGTCAAAATAGGTGACATTCAACGAAATAGTTCAAATGCGTGACGACCGTTTTTTTTCTCTGCAAAGAAAGTTCTGTTGTTTTTGTTTATTTCTTTCGAATTAAGTGTGAAAATGTTAAGTAGAGGCAAGCTGTTGGTGAATAAAGCTTTAGACATGAGTACTGAAGATAATAATGAAGACATAACAGGTAAATAGTTTTGTTTAAAGCATTTTAGTATCTTCGAGCTCACTCGAATGCACCGTATGAATTGCAGCGTTGTATCGTGTGCTGGTGTATGATGTGATGATTGTAACGATGTATGTATGTATGTAATATGAAATATATATATGTACATTTCTATGTAATGATGTGTGTGTGTGTGCGTGTGCGTGCGTGTGTGTGCGTGTGGGTGTGTCCGTCTGTGTGTTTTACTACTTAATGAATTACCATAAAGCCGCGTTCACACTACCCATAAGAACCAATATAATTTTGCTGTGGCCATAGATTTCTAGAACCACGCGTTATTATTGTAAAGACATAAAAGTTTCTTTGATTACAGCACAAGGTAATGAAGAACCTAGTAGGGCACAGCCTCTGGAGAAGCTTTCTTCACCTCTAAGCAATAACTTAACTTCGCCAGATCGCTTAGAAGAATATTCCTCGCCGATATTAGACCTACTTGCAAATTTGTCCCCTTTTAAAAGTCCTGACTATATATCAGGTTCATCAGAATATGGTGATGATATAATAGTTGCTGGCGGCAAGAAAATGAGGTTGCCTAATGGGAAGTCTAGGCGCACTATCATAGAAGAGTCTACTTCTGAAGGCGAAAATACTGCAAAATCACCAGTGTTTATACCATGTTCTGATGACGATACAGTGAGTATTAATGACAAAGTACCTAAAAAAGGAAGACCAAAGAAAGGTCGAAAATTTAAGTATGGTGGTCTATCTAGGATGGAAAGAAAGAAAAATAGACACTCTAATAAGCCTTTTCACAACTATAAAAACATCGAAGTCCAACCAAAAGTATTTATTGATTATAAATGTAATTGTAAAACGAAGTGCTGGGAAAAAATAGATTCAAACAATCGACACAAAATATTTGAGACCTTTTACAAACTAGAAAATTACAATACTCAGAATATGTACATCGCAGCAAGCGTCAAAGAAGCCGACGTTAAAAGAAGGATGACTAATAGCAATATGAAGAAAAAATTCTCTCGTAAATATCTATTAGATAAAGTCGAAGTATGCCGGAACTTATATGTCAAAACACTTGGTGTTTCAACAAAGAGAGTTAATACTGCTTTGGCTAAATTGAGGTCACAAGATTGTTTAGATAGAAGAGGATCAAAAAGTGGAGGTTGGAACAAATGCAGCGACGAATTAGTTTCCCAAGTAATATGTCATATAAACTCTCTTCCTAAGTATAAATCACACTATAGAAGAAGTGAGTGCGAGACCGAATATCTTATGTCAGACTTGACTTTAGACAAGATGTACGATTGATACTGTGAACATGTAGGAGAAGCTGAGAAGGTTAGTAAGGCTATGTACACAAAGTTATTCTACACTAATTTTAATCTTAAACGAGCGCCTCTTAAAAAAGACACTTGTAACAAGTGTGACACATTACAAGCGAAATTAACTCATTGCAAAACTACTGAGGAAAAAACAGCCATCGATACAGAACGCGAAGAACATTGCCGAAAATGGGAACAGGCGCGGCATGTAATGAAGACTGATTTTATTCTGGCTACTCAATGTAAGGAATTAGAATGCCTCACGTTTGATTTACAAAAAACACTTCCAATGCCTAAGATACCTACTGGAATTATTTACTATAAACGACAGCTTTGGCTGTATAATATGGGTATTTATTCGGCAAAAACCAACACAAGTGGGTGTTTTGTTTGGATTGAAGGAATGGCTGGAAAAGGTGCTCAGGAAGTCGGTTCCTGTCTTTTAAAATACTTAGGCGAGCATATTTCTGAAGATGTCGAGGAACTAATTTTATGGAGCGATTCGTGTGGCGGACAAAATCGTAATATAAAGTTAATTTTGATGTTAAAAGCATTTTTGCATTGTCATCCCACTTTGAAAAAAATAACACAAAAGTTTTTGATTTCCGGACATAGTTACCTACCTAATGACAGAGATTTTTCCCACATTGAATCTGCAATAAAAAAGTATCCGAGACTATACACTCCCGATGATTATATACAAGTTATTAAAGATTGCAAGAAAAAAAACCCTCTTAAAGTTACATTAATGGCAAAATCAGATTTTCTGGGAACTTCTAAGGTTGAAAAAATGATTATTAATAGAAAACGTGGTATTAACAAAGAATGTATTAATTGGCTACAAACTCGAGAAATATACATAGAAAGAGACTCACCAAACTCAATTTATTTTAAAACAGACTTCTTTGGTAATTCTGTGGAAGTCAATGTAGGTAGAGCACCTGTTCGGGGCAGACCGGGTTTAATCTTAATGGAACATTTAGTTCCCTTGTGGCCGTCAGGGAAACCAGTATCACCCGCAAAACTTGCCGATATACAATCCATATTACATCTCATTCCACAAGATGCACAGAGTTTTTATCATGGTCTCAACTGTGATAATACTATAGAAGACGACATAGATGGACTAGACACGGTGGATTTCGAAATCCAATTTGATGATAACGTCGAATAACATGCATTTTTGATTAATTAAAGCTTTATCCCGATACTAAAAACCTATAGTTTCATTTATATCAACAAATCCCTAGATTGTGGTTCTTTTTTGTATATATGAGAAAACCTATTAATTACTAAATGTTTAAAGGAACCACATGCACTTTTTTTAAATTTTTTAGAAGGTTAAACAGTTATCAACAAAAAATTATATGCACATACTTAAATAAGTAATTTATCAACATATTTAAATAAAATAAATAGTAATTTTACTTCATCTAACAGTGCTGCACATGTTTTTGTAAAACCTTTGATATCTCAAAAGTGTGTGTTTGCTGCGTGGTTCCATTTTGCATAAATACGGACAATTGCCATTAGTTAATATTTTTTGATTCAGATATTTGGTATTCTTATAAGGTGACGTAAAAATTGTTTAATCATTTAAATTATGTGCTGTTTTAATATGTATTCCGCATCCTTATTACGTTTAACTGTTCAATTATGAAATAATAATATTTATAAGAATATAAATATAAGTCAGAATGCTATGGCATTGATTTAATAAAAAAAGAATATTTAAAACTCAGGGTGTTATTGAAAGTACGTTTTGTTTATAAATCGCTTTCAATATACTTCTAATTAAATAAAAAATACATTTATATATCTAATACTTAACCAAATAATCAAATATTTTGTTTTAACAACTACTCAATATGTTTTATATTCAAACTTTGATAGAGTTCGAGGAAATTTAATATAGGTAACATAAAATAAATTAATGACCTTTTTTATACCTTATATTACATTTGAAGAAATAACAGAGGCGTCTTAGCTCCTGGTTCTTGATAGGGCTTCGCCATAGTTAGAAGACTGCATTTCATGTTTAGGCTGGTTCGGAGAAAAAGACCTTCTAACTTGGGTATGACGTAGGGCATATTATGTATCGAAGCAACTATCATGTGGCTTACATGAAAAATTATGCATTTACG